ACCCATTAACCTTAATACATTCCACATTCTGGCATGATTTCCAGAGTAAAAGGCCTTGCAGTAGTCAATAAAAGAAAGGAAAACCTTATTGTGTCCTCTTGTTGTGGCCATTATCCCTATCTTCTCTTCTCTTCTCTCTTCTTCTCTTCTCTTCTCATCTCATCTCATCTTATCTTATCTTATCTTATCTTATCTTTTGTTCTGCCTTTTTCAAAACCTGCCAGCTCCTTTGACATTTCTCTGTCTGTGGCTATGCTAATTTAATCTTGGGTGGAAATCAAAATCATTTCAAATGTTTTTATGCTGTGACAACCGATTCTTTTTCTTGGCCCCATTACTTTTTGGAATAGATGGAATTGTCAGGATTTCAGGATGTTATTCTGGTGGGTTGCTTCTACTGCAGATACTAGATGTGACATAGAAATCCAAATCCAGTAGATCTCAGGATTCAAATCTATGTTTCCTTTTTCTACTTTTACTTTACTTGGCAATATAATGGGAAATGAACAGTTCTCAATATAAGGAATGGTTAGCATTTGTAGGAACCAAAGAGGGGATAACATTCCATTCATAGGATAGTTCAAGTAGGGGTTAGATGGTTCGCTGGGATGCTTTCATTTCAGGTCCCGCATTGACATGGGTGTTGATGGCCCAGATGGCCTCTTTAAAACTTAGAGTCTACGATTCAGTGAAACTTCAGATACCTAAAGGTGATATATACATCTCTTCTCTCTCTCTCTCTCTCTCTCTCTCTCTCTCTCTCTCTCTCTCTCCACACACACACACACACATACAAAAATAGTCCTTGACTTACAACTGCAATTGAGCCCAAAATTTCTGTTGCTACCTAAGTCATTTGTTAAGTGGATTTTGTCCTATTTTATGTCTTGCCACAGTTGTTAAGGGAATCTTTGCAGTTGTTAAGTTAATAACACGGTTGTTAAGTCAATCTGGCTTTCCCCATTGACTTTGCTTGTCAGAAGGTCACATGACCCCCGGATACTGCAACCATCATAAATATGAGTCAGTTGCCATGCATCTGATGCTTGATCATGTGACCGTGGGGATGCTGCAACACTCATTAAGTATGAAAAATGGTCATAAGTCACTTTTTTCAGTGCCAGTATAAGTTCGAACAGTCACTAAATGAACTGTTTTAAGTCGAGGACTACCTGTATTCTACATACATACACACATACTATTTATGTATAGCATCCGGGGGCTGGATGTGGCTGGCAAAGTGTTTTCATGTGGCCCATGAAGCCATCCTGGAAACAGTGAGAGAACGGCCCCCACTGCCTTGGCCCTGGCCCAGGCCAGCCGGGAGCCAATGTACAATTTTGTGGTGGCCATCTATGCTGAAATGCATTCAGTCTTAGCTCCACAAGGCCGTCTAGAAACAGTGACGAACCAGCCCCTGCCGCATTGGCCCCGCCCCCTGGGTGCATACTGGGGAGGTGTCACTCTTTGTGAGGAATGAAGAAATGGACCATGCCTTGGCGCTTGCCCTGGTCCTACCCCCTTCTGCCAGAGACCCTCAGATCTGTCCCACTCCTGCCCAGGCCCCCACAGTCACCCTTGACACGAACGATGTAGAGCTGGCCATGCCCACCAAATAGGCCATACCCACTCCATCCACGCCTACCCAGTAGGCTGCACCCACCCTGGCCACACCCACCCAGCCCCCCAAGGGCAAGTGCAATGCTGATGCAGCCCTCAATGAAATTAAGTTTGACACCCCTGATGTAGTATAGCCTTGTTGTAAGTTAATCATGTGTTATATGGTAAATTCATTGTGTCTTCTTGCTGAGATGAGTAGACCCTTGGCCCCTACCTGCTGGATATGGGCTTTGAAATCCAATCATTTCCCCAACTTTCCCAATTTTTGAAGGTGGATTTGAAACTGGGATCATTGCCAAAGTTCCCCCAGTAGATGAACCATCTTCTAGGGAATTGATCTTGGTGAATATAATCCCTAAGATCAAGTAGCACTTGTATAGTTTTCTTAATTCACCTCATTATTCTTGGGAAAACACTGTAGGAGCTTAAAGAGGGTTTAGTCAAGACATATGGTTTTCTTCTCTTTAATCACAGCATAATTCCAGATCCACCTTCTATTTAGCAACAAGGCAGAGACAGATGTGAGCAGTGCTTATGTGTGTGTGTGTGTGTATGTGTGTGTACTGATTTGACAATTAGGAGAGCATTAGAACAGGATGGAATTGAAATATTGGTCTTGTTTGGGTTTGATATATAGTCACATCTGTCACTTCTGGTTGTTTCTCTTCAGCTAGTTGTTCTACATACATTTCGGAGCTGATACCTTATTCTTTGAAATAAATGCTTCTGGTATTCCGTATTGTAAATCATTATCATCATCAGGCTGAAGAATTAGATTATTTTAAATAAGAATGTGCCAGAACCAGAAAGAAGAAGGCTATGAATATAGATGAGAATATTTTTTTCTCTCTCAGATATTGTTATGAGAAATTGAATTTCTTTTCCTGAAACTCCCTCGTTGTGCTTTCTCCTTTCTCTAAGAAACTATAAAAGGCTCCTGCTGCTCCTTCTTGTCCTCCTCCTCTGTACATTTTTCATTTCAAAGGCAAGACTCCTGAATATCTAGGCCAGGGGTGTCAAACTGCCAGCCTGCGGGCTGGATGCGTCATGGCGAAATCGCGCCCACCCCATTGCCAGCAATGGAAAAAAAGTTACGATACATCGCGACACATCATGTGACGTTGCAAGTTTGATACCCCTGGTCTAGGCCATGGGTCTCCAAACTCAGGAAGTTAAGACTTGTGAGTTTCAACTCTTAGAATTCCCCAGCCATCATGACTGGCTAAGGAATTCTGGGAGTTGAAGTCCACAAGTCTTAAAGTTACCAAGTTTGCAGACCCCTGATCTGGGAGAAATGTGAAGAATGCAAACAGATGGGTTAAATAAAGGCATAGGGGTGGGAGGAAAAGGGAAAGAAAGATACAATTGCTTCTCTAATTATGTCCCATCACCAAGAAACTGTTCAAGACTTTCTCCTTTCTTGAGAAGAAGAGAAATCCATTGGAATGTTTCTTTCCATTTCTCTGATTGCGAGTGCTGTTAATTCCATGTAAATCAGGAAACAAGAACAATTTCCGAAAGATACTTCATCCTTGTCTTCTAGTATGAGCTTTGTACTCATTAGAGGTCTACTCCAAGTACCTTAACATCTTGTCCCAACGGTGCTTTTTTTAAAAAGCAACTGGCTTTGGGTTTTTTTGAAGACATTTCGCTTCTCATCCAAGAAGCTTCTTGCATGAGAAGTGAAACATCTTCAAGAATTTTTTTTTTTTTAAACATCTTTGGGACAATTGTGAACTGGATGACTGAGAATCTCCATAAACACCTTAACATCTTCAAATTAGACTTCAGAAAATATAAAAAATGATTCCATACCAGCACTCAAAGTCCTTTGGCTTCTATTGTGGATAATGTAATAGTTATATAAAGTCTTTTATTTATTTGCTAGACTTATTATCTCACTCAAGCAGAAATACATTGACCCAGAGTCATACAGTCATCTTTCATGCCTAAGGAAGAATTAGACCTCATATGTTCTGGTTTCAAATTTAGCATCCTAACAATTTATCTGAACGTTTCTCTCACCTGATCCTAAATACAGGAAGTCCTTGACTTAACGACCACAATTGAGATCAGAATTTCCCTTGTTAAGGAAGTGAGTCACACCCAATTTTACAATCTTTTGTGCCATGTGACTTGCAGTTAAGTTAATAACGTGGCTGTTAAGCGAATCTGGCTTGCCCCATTAATTTTGCTTGTCAGACGCTAGCTGGGAAGATTGCCAATGGCAATCACATGATCCTGGGATACTGAAGTTATGATAACTTGGCATCCGAATTACCTGAAGTTATGATAACTTGGAATCCGAATTGCCAAGCTCTTGAATTTTATTCATCTGACTGTGGGGATACTGCAACCATTGTAAGTGCAAGGATTGACTGTAAGTCACTTTTTCAGCGTTGTCGTAACTTTGAACAGTCACTAAGTTGTAAGTCGCTGGTTGTAAGTCAAGGACTACCTGTAGCTAATTATGGCCAGGCTCTATAAAATCTTGGCCGTGCTCTTCTTCCTCGGTTTGAATGGACTGTTCCTTGTGATAAGAATAATTGTATATACAGTCCTGGTAACATAAATTGCCAAAGTAGGAACATTCAAAGGAGAATATATTTTGACAGCAGCTCTGCTTGATTCTCACAGGCAGCAGGAGAGGTAAGTAGTTACAGCCTGTGCTGCAGACTAACTGGGGTTTATCTGGAATTAGCAGGACAGGTGTCTGGCTTAGGCTAAGACAAAGCTTTAACATCCCTTATGTATGCTTTGGCAATGCAAAATATATTTCCTTCCTTCCTTCCTTCCTTCCTTCCTTCCTTCCTTCCTTCCTTCCTTCCTTCCTTCCTTCCTTCCTTCCTTCCTTCCTTCTTATTTTAAAGAAATAATGAAATTAAATTTGCCTGGCACTTTAAGAGATATTTCTTCAAAACGTGGGTCATCTCAAGCTTGGCCCATGAGTAAGAATGGAGGAATCAAAGCTAGAGTTGTAAAAAGAAGGACCGAAGATCGAACTTGCCTTTGGAATATCAAAAATTCAGTAACAGAACTGGATAAAAACATACAGTAGAACACAGAATAACAAGTTGGAAGGGAGATGATGCTTTCTCCTTAAGCTTTGTTTCTGGATTATGCTTATCTCTACTTGCTTTGGGGGGGGGTTGAAGAAAAGGAGGAGGAAGAGAGTCTGTGACAGATGGTCTTCCCAACTCCCTCTGATGTTTGTTTGTTGTTCTTCAATTCAGATGGGACATAGGGAGTATCCAGCAAGGAATTAAAGTGACCCCAGTGGGTTTTCTGAATGGCCAGCCAAAGTCTGCTCAGCCTGCTGGTTGTCAGAATAATGTTTAGCCAGGTGTTAATCTGTGTCTGGAGGGGGGGGGGGGAGAAGTGATGGAATTCATTATTCAGCTTGCCAAGAGAGGTCACGGTTTTGGACCACTGCCAAGTCCCAAGCCAGCCCTCTTGGATTTACTGACATGTGCCGCTTGTGAGGAATGTAGCTGAAGTCCGCTTGTGGAAGTCTCTTGGTAGGCAGCCAAGTTGACGGAGAGCAGACAGAAGCATTCAAGCCGCAGATCTACAGAGGCAAAACCCAGCTTGCCTTCTCCAAGCGGGGCGAACGGCTATCTAAGCAAAAGGGACAATCATATCTTTTTCTTCTTCTTCTCCCTTTTCCTTTTTTGTTGTTGTTGTTCTTGTGATCTTCTAGGGTTTTATTTTCCTTTCCATATACACACAGCCACAAAAACCTATATATTCCTTCTACTCTTCTGAACAGAAGCAATGATTAAGTCAAGCTGGTTCTACGTCAGATTCAAATATGCTGAAAAGGTAGGTCAATCTATTTCTTTCCTGAGCCTCTTTTTTTTTCCCAGCAAATTTTCTCCCTATTCTGGATTCTAACTTCCGACAGGCATTTAATATTTCTGCCTGATGTTGCTTCTGGCTCTTATATTTCTGGAATGTAACTTGGATGCAGTTTTGAAAATCTGGCATTCCGACAATATTGCTGAGAACAGAGGGAAGCCTCGGATCCAATTTCTGAGCCCTGTCACTTTGCACAAACAACATAGACATGCACACAATGACCTCTCTCTGTGTGGGTGTGTGTGTGTGCGCGCGTGCGGGTTTGTGCTTCCTTTGTCTGCTACTACAAGATGAGGAAGGAACTTTTTTCATCCTAAGCTTTTCCTTGTGGCATCAGGATAGGGAAGATGTACAAAATGGGCTTGTGTAAACATTTTTGCTGAAGAGTTCAAAAAAATCCCTTTCTATGTATCTATCGCTCGCTGGAGCTTGCATGGATGAAAGGCAAAATCATAAATCGGGGTTTCTTGCTCTTAACTGGCCATTATTCTGATTCTTAGCAGCTGAATGTATCTGATGATCTTACATACTTAGGATATTTGTTTTTCCTCTTTCTATATTTTCCCCCAAACATGGCTGTGTTTCAACTCTTACCTGTTTGGTTGTCCACTGGTAGATCTTGCTTTTTTATTCTTTTCAGTTTGGGTCATCAATAATGGGCAATGTTAAAGCAGGACCATAGTTTGTCTGGTGATATTGTCACTGATAAGGTGTTTTCCTTGCTCTGCTTCTATCTGACATCTCCATTTATGAGGACAGTTGACAATTGAGGCAAAAAAGGGGCGGTGGGTTGCTATTTTTGTACATGGTTGCATAGAGGGGTCCTTTGGGGCTAAATAAGTTCCTTTAGACATTATATTTGAAGTCCTACCTTTTTTGACATATTCTGGATTGAATAATATACAGATAGTCCTTGACTTACAACAGTTTATGTAGTGACTGTTCAAAGTTATAACGGCACTGAAAAAAAGAGACTTATGACCATTTTTCACACTTGTGACCGTTGCAGCTTCCCCGTGGTCATGTGATCAAAATTCAGATGCTTGGCAACTGGCATATATTTATGGCGCTTGCAGTGTCCTGGGGTCACGTGATCACCTTTTGCGACCTTCTGACAAGCAAAGTCAATGGGGAAGCCAGATTCACTTAATAACTGTGTTACTAACTTAACAACTGCACTTGATTCACTTAACAACTGTGGAAGAAAGGTCGTAAAATGGGGCAAAATACATTTAGCAAATGTGCCTCTTAGCCACAGAAATTTTGGGCTCAACTGTGGTCATGAATCAAGGACTTCCTGTGTCTATTAAGGTCTGGTGAGATCTTCTGAGAAGTATTCTTCAAGAGAATTGATTTTTTTTTTTGTCTGATTTTCTGAATGGGACTTCTGACTCCTTGACTTCTATGTGTCCCTAATTCCATTTTTGATTGTCTCAGGATAGCACTGCTGAACCAGAATTAGGTTACCAATTCTCAGTGATTGTTTAAACGGTTCTTGTTTATACAAATAAATAGAATTAGGATTTGAGGCATAAACCAGAAAGATTATAAAATATATCCATCTTTTCTGAAGATATCCTCATCATTGCCTCATGCTATAAAAGATTTATGTATGTATGTATATATGTATGTGTTTATGTGTTTGTTTGTTTGTTTATTATCCTGCCTTTATTACTTTATAAGTAACTCAAGGGAGTGAAGTTTCTTCCTCCTTCTCCAATTCCCCCCCCCCCCAAGAAACTGTGACTGGCCCAAAGTCACCCAGCCAGCTTTCATGTCTAAAGTGGAACTAGAACTTACTGTCTCCTGGTTTCTACAACGGCACCTTAACCCCCAGGTCATAACTGGCTCTATAAGATATGTATGATATTTCATGAAATGAAAATTAAGGCAGAATTAGAACTCACAGTCTCCTTCTTTAATAGCTCTCTCTCCCCCCATAATTGAAACAAACATAGATGCACCAAAAATTGAATAAAAACATATCCAATAAAATAAAATCAAAAGCACTATATAAACTAAGCAGAAGTTAAGAGCTGATTAAAAAGCTTGGTTCTGTGCCTCTCATGTGAGGTCAGATAAAACTTTAAAAATGTGATAAAATCCCCAGGTTGTGAAAGCAGCTTTAGTTGCCCCAAATTCTTAATCTAATTGTAACACTGAAGTAGTGGAGAAAACATCCTGAAGTTGACCTGTTTTCTATAACAAGCTTTCCTCTTTTGCCTTGTCTTGTATCTTGAAGGTTTACCCCCCCCCCCAAATGTTCAGTCTCCTGTTTCTCATCTTTCCACCTCAGGTCACAAGCATGCAGTGAAAGTTATGTTCAGTTCAGTTCACATAATTGGCCTCCTTGATTTTTCTCTCTCCCTGAAGGCATGCAAGCATAATGCCTTTAATTATGGCATAGATATACTCATTGGCGCATTTATGTCCAGGGGTGGGAGTAAATTTGCCAGTTTGAGGACCATCCAAGGCTTTCCGTAGCATGTCAAAGGCCAACTCAAAAAGCATGCTGGCCCAGAGTCCTTTTGTAGAGATTTTGCATGGCTGCCTGGGGAATTCTGGGAGATGAAGTCCACAAGTCTTAAAATTGCCGACTTTGGATATCCTGGCTTAAGGGTATCTTTTAAACAACCCCCCCCCCCACACACACACACTCCTGGCCTTCTAAAAAGGAGTTAAAATATGGGTCGGTGGCTTAGCATGGGGATCCCAGAGAAGCATGAAACCATGGGGCTGGTTTAATAGTATTTAATCACTTTTGCCTTCTCCTAAGTTTTTAACTTTTATATATACTGTTTTATATTTTTTAAACATTTCATTGTGTACTGCCCAGAGTCCCTCTTTGAGGAAGATGTGTGGCTCAGAAATGTGAAAAATAAATAAATATCACCCCCCATGCAAAAAAGAGGTTTGTTTTTGGTTCTAACTGGTCTGCACAAGATTGGATGTGATCCTGAGTTGCACCTTTCACATCCCCGATTTATGCTATTGTTTAGTTTGCCAAAATGGAATACAGGAGAGAGAAAGTGTGGGGGGGGAAGGTTTGACCTATTTTGGGAAAACTTCTAATTAGACCTAGATGCATTAGGGCAATGTTTTTCAATCTTGGTAACTTTTAAGATGGGTGGACCTCAACTTCTAGAATTCCCAAGCCAGCATGCTAGCTGGAGAATTCTGGGAGTTGAAGTCTGGAAATTGTGCATTAGACAAGTGGTTCTCAACCTTTTCTTCACCACAGGCCCCCTTTAATTACCTTTTGTGGCCACGGGCCATGACCATGGACCATCAAGACTTAACTTAAGATTTCAATCAATCAGAATATAGCTGGAAGGGACCTTGGAGGTTTTCTAGTCTATCCACCCATTTCAGATAAGACCATTCCAGTCTTTTCTTAAAAACCTCTAGTGATGAAGCACCCACAACTTCTGAAGGCAAGCCGTTAATTGTTTTCTCTCTTAGGAAGTTTCTCCTTAATTCCAGGTTGCTTCTCTCCTTGATTAGTTTATTGATTAGTTCCTTGATTATGATTTAAATCATAACATTTCTTCAAGCCTTCACGGACTCCCTGTGACAACATTGTGGACCCCCATGGGTCTGTGGACCACAGGTTGAGAACCACTACATTAGACAATGCTGTTTTTTAAAGGAAAGTTTTACCTTCTAGTGCAGGGGCCATGTTTTTTTGCTGTCCACTGCAGAACAGTCAGTGTTTCTTTACATTGTAGCCTGATCTAGTTAGAAAATGAGCATAGTCCCTGGAGCTTAAAGACCTCAGATAATTCAAAATAAGCAAGTCAAGCAGCAGATGACTTAAAGTAAATGAACCAGGCACTATACGAAGGAGAAAGTTGGGAAGAATGGATCTGTCAAGTTCAATTTTATTCATTTTCTCAGTTTTCCAGCCTTGAGTTAATTTGGTCCCATTCTTCATCAGTTGGCAAATTGTTTCAAAACCCAACCAACCAATGGCCAATGCTCCAGTGAATATTTTTTAGCAACATTTTCTCCTTAATGTTGACTGCAAACAGTTTTTCTCTGATGTAATGTCATTTGTGTGTGCAGTTTGCCCTATTATGTCTTCTGCATATTTTTAACAAATAGATTTGCAAAGGAAGAGAGTACAGTAATGGATTTTGGCAGCCGGATGGCTTTCAATTTGTGTCTTCATTGAGGAAGCTTAATTTAGGTATGTTTGTATTGAAATGCAAATCAAGTAATTTTTTTTGTCTTCTCCAAGCAGAGGAAGGCTCTCCATATGTTTTTAACTGTAACTCACATAATCCACCATTCACATGGTTAATTACTGGGGCTTATAGATGCTATTGAGAGATGCTTTGAGGTAGTGGTTAAGCGACTAGGAGCCTGTGAGTTCTAGTCCCACCTTAGGCAACAAAGCCAGCTGGGTGACTTTGGCCAGTCAACAGGTGACTGTGAGTTCCAGTCCCACTTTAGGCATGAAAGCCACTTCGGTGACTTTGGGTCAGTCACTCTCTTTGAGCCCAACCCATCTCACAGGGTTGTTGTGGGGAAAGTAAGTGGAAGAAGGAATAGTGTGTATGTTCACTGCTTTGAGTTTCTTATAAAGTAATAACAGAAAAAAAATCAAATAGAAAAAATAAATAGAATTGGTGATTCAAATTTCTAGTACGACATGAGCCAAACTAAATTTGTGGCTCAAGGTTTAGACCAGACCAGTTTGAATGGCGTTGCTTTGAAGTTGCATCTACAAGGGACACAAAACCTAGGACACCACAATGGGTTGGCATCAGAATGCTGGCAGCTGTTTCATTTTTTTTGCAAAATAGAATGGAAATAGAGAAGGTTCCTATCACATTGATTCTGCATAGTCCTAGTTGGAGTCTTCAAGGATTTCAGTATAATAAAATGTTTGAAAAATTTCCTTCATGTTTTCCAAGGCAGAGTAATACAGAATGGAATGGAATAGAAATAGGAATGACACG